GGATGGGAGCAGACTGGGTGACCTCCCCGAGTCACTGGCACTGGATGAGGTGGCTGGGCCTGGGCACGGAGATGCCAGCGTGCTGGCCCACACCCTGCCCCAGGGAGGTGTCGGGCAGCCCCTCACTGCCGCCCCACGCACTGCGGCCTCGCCTTTGTGTGAACTCCACCGTGTTTACTCTCCCACTTCCTTGTTCCACTCCAGTGCGAGGGCCATAAACCGCCCGGCTGGCACGGCTGAGCCCTTGGCAGCAGGGGCAGGAGGAAGAGGAGGGAGGGGGATGGCGGTCATCCCCTGGCTCTGTGCTGGGAGGGCATCCCAGGTGCCGCCGTGGTGGATGGGAGCACAGCCCTTCCCCTAGGGCTGGTGCCACCATCCACGGCGGGTCTCATGCCCACTGGCCACCCTCATGCCGGTGTCCAGGGCCACACCAGGAGGGAACAGGACCTATTTCCCCTTCTTCTCGGACTTCAGAGGCCACAATGCGACGGCCTTGCGCATCGGAGAGTCGTCTGCCCTGGTCTTCATCTTCCTGCTGTCGTTGGCGGGAAACGTCTGGGGCATCTGCCTGCTGGTGAGGCGGCACCGCCGGCTCTGCGCCGCCAACTGCCTCGTCCTCAACCTCTTCTGTGCCGACCTGCTCTTCATCACCGCCATGCCCTTCATCGCCGTCGTGCGCTGGACCGAGTCCTGGGTGCTGGGCAACGTCGTCTGCCACTTGCTCTTCTATGTGGTGAGCCTGAGCGGCGCCGTCATCATCCTCTCCCTGTCAGCCGTCAGCCTGGAGCGCGTCGTCAGCATCGCCCGGCTGCGCCACGCCGCCTTCCGCCGCCGCAAGGCGCTGGCCGCCGCCTTGCTCCTCATCTGGGGCTTCGCCGCCCTCTTCACCCTCCCGCTCTGCTGCTTCTTCACCGTGGTGCGGCTGCCCGCCCCCGCCGGCCAGGTGAGGGCGAGCGCTGGGCGCGCCCGCGGCAGCCGGGCCGGGCCGGGCCGGGCCGGGCCGGGCCGGGCCGGGGGGCGCCGGGACCGACGGCGGTGGAGGCTCGTCCGCCTCTGCCACGGCGGGACAGCGGCCGGCGAGCAGATCACTGGCAGGGCGGACAGCGCTCTGCGTGCCGGGCAGGTGCGACGCTGTGCCCGGAACTCCCCCTCGTCCCGTCCTTCCCCAGACCGTCCCGTTAGATGGGAGACGCGCATCGGCTCCCATGGGATTCTCTTTGCGTTCCTCCGTGCCGCTCATAGATCCCCTTTTCAGCTCACATCTCCTTACCGAGGGATCAGCATCCTGGAAGAGTTGCCGTGCACCCGCAGCCCCCTCTGTACAAAATGACCATGCACAGATTTTTCTGCCTAATATTTTGAAATGCACACAAAAGTGCACGCAAAGTGACATTTGAATAAATGATTAAATTTACGGTCTGTAAGTTTCAATTTTAAAGTTGCCATTACAATTTGATATGAAATTAATGGGAGTATTCAAATTGTGGATATATCCATTTGTAATTGTATGGGCTTTTAAAACCATCCAATAATGTATTACTTGAATGCTTTGTCTAAGTAGAAAGTTTTCACAGTCTTGATTTAGTCTCGGCTTAGCCATGTTTTGCCCTAAGCATAGAGGGAGATAAGGACAATTCTGTACTGAAAATAATGGCACAATATTACTTCTTAATTTTTTTTTTTTTTGTAAATAGGATATGCAAATTTGCACTCTGGATTGGCCCAGCACTGCAGGAGAAATAGTCTGGGATACGACCTCTGCCATTGTTTTCTTTCTGATACCAGGATTCATCATTGTCATCAGTTACTCCAAAATCTTACAGGTACGTTTTTCCTTTAAATTTTGTTGTAAAACAAAGGAGTGTAAACAATAACTCACTAGGCATCAGCATATTGTCACTGAATACAAATACATGTAAAGGAAACAAACATTATTTGTTCAATAAAATATATGATATAAAAAATGTGTATTTCAACCTGCACATAACAGCCTATATATTTCAATTAAGAACATGATTCAACAGCACATTACCAGAGGCCCAACATATGGTTTGTCTTCTTATATATATTGTTGAATACACTTCTTCATTTATGTGCTGTCCATATTTAAAGACTGTCAATCTCCTAAATGCTGAAAAACTTGAGCATCTGAAATAACCAAAAATTAGATTTTGCTTTCCTTGAGCCTGAACTCCAGTCATAAGGGATTTGTAAGAAAGCAGAGAAAGGCAGGACTAGAAAAAAAACCCATCCACTTTTTGATCTACTGGCTTTCTGCATCTGTTTTTAGTACACAGATCTCATTAGATTATACTTAATCCTCCACAATTTCAAATATTGTAAACAAAACCTGTAAATTAAACTCTCCACTTCCACTTTCTTTATAAGGGGATGATATTTAACATACATGCTGAAATATAAGCCAAGCCACCCAGTACCACAGAGTTTTAATCTATAGTCTAGCAAGCATTATATTAGCATCTAAATTCCTTTTATACTATCTAAAACCAGAGTGAGAAAGATCTAGAAGTCTTCAAACCAAGCACTTCAAACTAGTCACGCAATGCCTACTTTTTAGCAATGTCCCACAAGATCCTTGATTCCTTTATTGGGCAATTAAACTTCTCATAACATGTATAAGAAAACTATAGGTTTTGGAAAGGTACCTCAACATACATGGAATATTGAGCAAGGAGTTAACTAATGAAATGCTGAGCACCAAGGGGCTGTGGATGCACGTGCCAGAGCTGGATGTAGGTGTAAAATGAACTAGGACCTAGAATCTGGTCTCCACATATCCTTGCCTATTGATCAAACTTAAACTTACTCACTATAAGCTTGAGGTAAATGCATTAGATGAACCTCTTCTAGTGAAATAAATGACTTGCAATCACATAATGCTGTAGGCAAAGAGCATAGAGTAACTCAGTGGAGAGTGTGAATCCTTTGAAAGAACTGCAAAATAATGCAGGTCAAGGAATGCCACAGTTCTTGGTCAGAGGCCAGGACAGAAATGGTGTTTGTCGTGTCCTTGCAGACTCCAGATTACAGGTAAATTTATAAAACAAAATGGCACATGGGGAGCTAGAAACCAAAATCAGTGTTGGAAATACTGGATTACAAGACATCCCTGTGCTGCTCTGCTCCTGCTTTTTTCTAACTTGCTAACAGCGATGCTAAAATACATTACCATTTCCCCTGAAATGAAGAAGGCTTGAGGTCCATAGCAGGATATAATTGATCTTCTCTCTGTCCAGGAAGCAACCAGAACTGAACTGGAGAATGTCTCAATCTCTGAGTCATTCCCAAGAGCAGACTCACTCCTTGTGAGAATGCTCCATTATGCCAGTGCACACATAGCATGATTCTCAGTATTGCTGGAATCAGTGCCAGACATTCATGTATTCATGTTACAACATTGATGATGATGAGGATGAGGATGAGGATGAGGATGAGGATGAGGATGAGGATGGTGATGACTGACTACAGATATAAGACCTGAAATTTTTTAACAAATACACACTACTACAAATGTGTACTTCACAATTTACTCTGAAACCAAGTATTATTTTTACATAACACTTCCCAGAACCCTGGCAAAAATTCTAAATTAGAAGCCCTGATTTATAATTTGGTTTTCCATTGTTCTGCCTCTCAGGCAAGACTTTTTCAGAGGGAAGCTAGGGAAGATATCTGTGTTTTGGAAGTTACATGCTTATATATATATATGACTTCTAAGTTCCTGTTTGTCAAAGTGTGGTCCAGATGCCCAGGATAGGTATCTATACTGGGCAGACCACAAAGGGATCCACAACATACCACTGTCATCCCATTTCTCTTGAACACTTTCTTAAGATGCAGTTGTGTCTTATTTACCACAGTCCTGGTGATTCTTGCATTCTTAGTTCTAGACCGTGCAGCTCCTGCAGGAAAGACAGAAAGTATTTATAGGGGACAGATACAAATTCTGTACATTCTGTACATGGAGGTTCTGTACCAGTTTTCAACAGTGGAGACTGAGAAGTGCACACACTTCCCAGTTTTCCTACTTTTATACTAGAAGTGGATATTAGTCCTTTGGATTTTGTGAAACCTTCATTCTTACTAGGACAGGTTAGAACAACTCTCAGTTTGGACTGTTTGGAGGAATTAACCTAGTTTCTGGATTTCAGATGGTACAGCAGGAGATCATCAAGCTGGAAGAGTTTTACATGCTCAGGACATGAGAATTCTCTGCTCTTTTTAAATCGACGAAGCAGCTAGTGATACTGTCCCCTTCACAGCCTCAAAGCTGCTAAGAAACCCTTTTTTTCCCCACAGGTTTTGATTTATACACTTACATTATATTGAATTATTTAGAAGACGTCTAGATTCTTAATGAGTATTTATCTCTGGGACAAATTCAGAAAACTGCAAACAGAATAAAAAATTACTCTCTCTAAATATTTTCCTCCTTACCTGTACCAGGAAGTTAAAAAGTGTTGCTAGTATTAATGTTATCCTTCCTGCTGCTTCTGCTAAAGGGAAAAGTGGCAGGAGGAGTCTTACCTTTGACTTTCCTATGTAGACAGCTAATTGATCAAGGCTTTTGAAAACATCCCTTCTATATGCATGCAGGGGATAAAGTGGCCTCTCAGTTATTTAGCACTAATCTTTGTTTGCTAAATATTTCAGTTTTATTTTAATTTATTTGCACCAGATGTATGAATGTAATGAACTTAATTGTGCCATGCCAACTTCAGGGAAGATGGGGATGTAGAGCAGGAGATTTAGAGTTTTCTGCAAGCCATTGGGTTCAATATTTTACCTAATGACAGATGATGTATACCCATGAATACTAGGTTTCCAAGCTACCCATAGACTAGTTTCTCACATCAGAGAGTACTTCTACAAGACACAGATTTTTATAATGACTGTAAGGATCTGTAAGATTTCATGTTAGTTCATAGAAAGCAATTGTGATTACTGTCTGAAGAGCTAAGTGTGACACAAACCAATACATAATAAATTCATGCTCCTTCTAATACCTACCTTATAAAATCAGCATGACCATAAGAGAATTGGATCGCATCCCTTCTTGTGCATCAACAGTATTGTTAACTATATTCCAGTTTGCATTTATGAAAAAAAATCTACGGTTTTCTTTAGATAGAACAAATGACATCATAATTCAAATTGGATGAGATTTCATGAGTAATTAAGACTATTTTATGTTGAAAAGTATTTGTGGCTGGTAGAGAGCCGTGAAAAGAACAACCACTTTGCCTAATATTGAGATGAGTTCACAGGTGAGAGGAAAAGAATTGCTAGTGAAGTGAGAACATTTGAAATGGAAACATTGACAAAAAGTACAAATGAATTCTGCAATCCATTTTTTTGTAGTCATTTTTCAAAAGAAAATATCATGTGCCAATATTTACTTTTTCAATTGTAGAAATGTTTCAGTGAAAGTTGCTTTCTTCTCTTTTACTGCAGATTACAAAAGCATCAAGAAGAAGTTTAAATGCTGGTTTAGCCTACTCAGAACATCATCAGATTCGTGTTTCCCAGCAAGACTACAAACTATTTAGATCCCTTTTTCTGCTGATGATCTCTTTCTTCATTATGTGGAGCCCAATTATAGTAATTATTTTTTTAATTTTAGTTCAGAACTTCAAAAAAGATTTAAATATTTTGCCGTCAGTTTTCTTCTGGATAGTATTATTCACTTTTGCCAATTCTGCTGTCAACCCAATTCTGTATAATGTTGCCCATTTCAGACGTAAATGTCAGGAAGTTCTTCTCTGTTGTACAGGGAACCATGAAAGGCAGGGAGCAGGTTCAGAAACCACTGCCAAAAGAAGTAACCGTGAACAGCCACATTTGTCTTTCATTACCAGATAATTATTTACAGTCCGAGCTGTGCCACACTTTGGATTTTGTCTACGCTATCCCAGGCCACATAGGTCATTATGTTATAGTATTACATGCCAGAGGAGGCAGAAAAAAAGCTAAATATGTATTTTTAATTCCTGCAGGTAAAATTCTCTTGACTTCATTGCTTTGCCTCAGTGAGATTTGGACAATTTAATCCAATGGATTAGATTCTTCTCTTACGCTGAAATAAACAGAAATATGGCAGTAAACTTAGTGAATGTAAAATAGTTGAATTAAATACTTTAAACTTTCTAGTGAAAATGTTCATCCTCAGAAAGTAGCTGCTTTTTTAAAATCCAGTTTTTAAAGGGAACTTGATTAAACACTTCAATTACTGACTGCCTGGATGTATGTTTGAGCAGCGTAACTGAAACAAGGTAATGAACATGTGTTATGACCAAGTAAATGACCAGTTTGGTTCCATCTCAAATTAGAAATATGGACTTAATACATGTGAATATACAAGTAAAGAATAAATAAGTAAAAGATTAATTGTCATGTGTAAAATATTTCTTTTGAAAATATGGATATTTTTATGTCTTTTTATGTCTTCATATAATAAAGTTCATTAGTGATATATATATGGTCACTGAAATTCCTTTCTCTTTTCTAAATGATTTCCAGTATTTTATAGAGAAAATACAATGTTCTGTTTGAAAAAAAAAAACAACATATACTTGGAGGTTTATGATAAATACTCTTTTAGTCAGAAATTGAAACCAAAGCAAGATTAAATTCTTAATTATCACCATGTGTCACCAAGTCAAAACAGTTCACTAACAGGCTACTAATGTAACCAATGTCTACATATGTACAGATTTGCATACAATTTGCATCCCCTGTAATCCAAGTTTATTAAAATGTTTCATTGGTTTATTAACAAGGTGAGCTACACAGCTCAGATAAATATATTGAAAATCTAAATGAAGCCATTTAAAACATTTTCCACAGAACATATGATCATTGTGTTAACTTTACATCCATGGTGCTGTTACATGGTTTCTTTCCACAGGGCTGGATCTCCTTAAGAGCAAAATCCTGAAACACACAAAAACCACAGTTGTGTTTGTCAAACACTCTAGACAAAATTTAACTACACAAACTTTCACCAAATTTAAAATGCATACATATCTAATGTCTTTCAAATGCTCTTGAGTCCAGCAGTCTGTTACTTGTAATAATAATGCCATTATCTTACCCTGCAGTTTATAATTCCAAGGAATTTTCAACTTGGAACAAAATGAGAATTCACCCAATCTATTACACCTCTCCTGAGCATTTTAATACTTTTGCAGACAAGGTACTGGGCAGATCAGTGATAAAAGAGTGTCTTTCAGTGATGAAAGAGTCTATACTTCAATAAGGTTCTAGTTATTTACCCAAAAAGAATTAATTTAAGAATGTCTTTCAACAAAGTAAGAATCTTTTGACCCCCAAAACTTCTGATGGCAATAGTAAATTAGCAGAAAGAATATACCACTCTTTATTTCACAATTTTTGCTTCTAGAAAATGCTAACAAGATATGCAGATTTCAGCTCTACTGACATGACATTATATTTACAAGTACTCTCACTCAATATTGACACTGACATTACACAGCTTAAAGTTACTTGAGCTATTACTCTGAGACACTAAATGTATCCTAGTTTGAGCTATTTCAGAAGGAGCTACCATCATAAATGGAGTGTAAGTTAAAACAAAAACCTTTCATTTCCTAGGTTTCTCTTTTCCATTGAACAGCCAGTACAGATATTTTAATTTTTTTTAAATCAAGGTAAGTTTTGTACGGCTATTAACTGAGGGGACACACACACACACACACACACACACACACACCCCCACACACACACACACACTCTTAATTAGCTTTAAGACATAGGCAGAGTGTGCACAATCAGCAACAGATACCAGCCTATTCTTGCAGGACTTACTACCATCAGTCAGAATTTTATCACAGTAACAATGGGATGCAGGTCAGTGCAGAAAATGGAAGTTGGTTTGTTTCGGTAATAATTCTGTAGCTCTTAATAGCAGAGTTAAAACTAAAGTAGTAAGGCTTCCAATCCACACATAAGGAATTAAGCTAATTTTGAAAGAGTTTCTAATATGAAGCTTCCAATATTTTTTTTTTTTTTTCAGCTCACAATCATTCCCTCAGTCCCAAATGTCCTTACTTTGCAGGAACTTTGGCTTAATAATACTGGGGAATTCAGAATCAACTAATAATAGGGTCCTGACCAATAAAGGGGAAAATGCAAATTGTTGGATTTAAGTTCAATTTATACTTTGATACTAGGTTTATAAACCCTGGCATAATCCTTAATAAAAAAGTACCCGGGCTCCTATTTTTCATTTGCGAACTACAAAACTCACACGGTCATATCAGACACTGCACTCAACACCTAACAGCTGAGTTAAGGGTATCAAAGAACAGCATGACTTGGTAGATTAGATATTTGATATCTATAACAAACTAGAGGAAGTATGACCAACTTTTAAATTATATTAGATTTAACAGAATATCCCTAAACATCTGATTATTTGGCTTTCTCATTTTCAGAAATTTTCATTCTTGCTGGACTTGATTTGAAAAGCAGGGAATCCAGGATTCAAAACAGAAAAGTATCATCAATTTATATAATGACACTGTTTCTTTTCTATCCTACCATTTGTGCAATCATACAAATCATTCACAGCAGCTGATTCCATATGCATTTATGATATCTCTTATTCTTGACTGTTCTAAGTGTCAGCTGACTTATGTTGTCTCCAAATTCTCATTCAAGACAATTTTTTTTTCATTATTGTCAGGCCCTTTTCCCAGGTCACTGATTAATACAGTAAACACCACCTACTTCAGGAGAGTAGGTGACACCCTTTCTTCAAGGCACGCTGTTATCAACATACTACTTTACAGCATGGCAATTCATTACTCTGTGTTTATGGATCAGATAAACAGGTAATAGAGCCACAGCAGCTGACTTCGCTGATCTGTTCTGACTTTCTTTGTAAAACGCAAAAGTTCCTTCAGTCAATGCTGGTTTGTTCTAGCATGTAATTGACAAAAGCCTTTAATCTTGATTTACAGATTTCAGTGATGAAGAACACACAACAGCTCTTGGTAAACTGTTCCAAAGGTTAATGACCTTTGGAGTTAAACAAATGGCTGTTTATTTCTGCTCTGAATGTGTCCAGTTTAAAGTTCCATCCATTTAAATGTATTATTTCAGTGTTTGCAAGTCCTTTTCTATCCAATTCCAATTCCTATTGCTTGTGTGGACAAGCACAGACTTTGCTCAGGTCAGCCTTTAACCTCTTTCTAATGAGAAAAGATTAAGATCTTTGAAGCACTCACTAGAGGAGACATTTTACAAACTTTCAATCATTTTCTCTGCTCTTCTTTGAAACTTCTAATTCATCCTTTTCCCAGTTATGCTTATCACAAAACATGACATAGCAATTAGACCTATGCCAAGCACAACAATCTCATGTGAGTCTTGGTTTATGTTTCCAGGAATTGTGTTAACTCTTTTGCTCACATATTACATTGGGAGTTCCCATTCAGCTGATTCACCAGTCGTTTTTCATAAATAGCATGTCTTCCAGGATGCGAGGAATGTCTTCCAGGATGCAAGGTACTGCTATTATATTGGTTCTAAATATTTTGATTTTTCTCCTTCACTTTTTACAATTCCCCACTCTGGGTGTAATTCTTATGAGTAAGTACCTTATGGCTTCTTCAAGATTATTACCATTTGGCCTTTTGTAATATACTTGAGCACAAGTGAGCTAATTCCCCATGTTGTAAGCTCAGCCTCACTATATGACTCAAGATAGTATCATGTTTCCAGTATGAGGGCTATGTCCCTCTTCCACACCTCTTTGTGAAACAGTGGGCATAAGGACTTGTGAGAAAGGGTCTTCTATAAGGTATCCTTTCCAAGGCTTCTACTTTCCTTAAAAGCCTTTTTGAAGAATTTCTCCAAGAAGTATTTGAACAAGGGCAAAGAGATCTGATAAAAGCTGCCCTATTACTTTTTACTGTAGCTATGAAGTTTATCCTTACCATGTTTACTCACACTACATTGATTTGATTGTTTTACAACTTCCTCTAATTACTGTTTCAGCTGATCTGATAAGCTGCATGAAAAACTATGTACCTCAGCTCTCCTTCAGATAAGGGAAGTAAAAGTTGGAAATAACTTATTGCAAGCTCTAAGTTTTCAAAAGACAACATTAGAGCCACTAAGTAAAAGGCTTTATGCATTTGATATCTAATGAGGAAGAGTATTCCAGTGCTTTAGTCATTAAATCCTGAAATAAAATTCTTCAGAAAAAAAAAGTTCTCACCATTATGAGTGATAACTCTGTATTTTCTGTCCAAACAGAGATCCATCTGCCTTTGTCTGACAATTTTCAGTGCATCTGGAGGCAGTCCCTTGGGATCCCGGGAGAACACAAAGGAGTAGCTATCAGCACAAGTGCCATCTGCATTTAGCTGACGGCAGGAGTAATGAAGAGCATATGTATCGTAATCTGTGTCCACTACCCAGTGATCGTCATCTGGAAGAAGCCATAGCAAAGAAGGAAAAGTGTTAGAGACATCAGTGAAATCTAGTCAATCAGAAAGAATTGCTGCCACAACTCTGTAAAGAAAATACTAAAATGAAGATCATGTATGAAGATATAGGTATACATATGTATAATATATACAAATTATAACAGATTAGCTTTTCATTTATTCCTGTGTCCAGTATTTAATTCCATGTTTATTTTTTTAAAACAAAATAAAGATGGACATGCTAGGCCTGCTCAAGATGATTTAAATCCATAAATATTTTCCTACCAAGGATGCTACTTAGACTGCATTGTTAAGGAAAAAGATTATCGTGCAGTTTGTATGTGTATTAGAAGTGTATTTGCTACAAGTTCTGCCATAAACCCTCTTCTTAAAACTCAGTTACAATTTCAGAGAATTCTTAACCGTTTAGCTATGTAATCTGACAAAACACACTCTGTTCTAACAGAAGTGAGGCTGTTTCAGTGTTTGCAGCAAAACCTAACATATCTGCACCTTCCTCTCCTGAAGCAAAAGATTCTCCCTTGCAGTACATCTGCATTGGTGAAGACAACACTCTGTTGTCTTCCCCTTCTCTCCTCTGGGGGACACCTGACTTTTTAGAAGAGTAGAGTTTGAGATCAGCCAGCAATCTGCAGAACCCATAACTCAGCAGCATATTCTGAGAAGACTTGGGATCTATATAAGACAAATTGGCATCCAAAATATGCTTTGTAACCATGTCTTTGGATGGAATGGAGCTCCTGTCAGCTCCAAATTCTACCTGCTTCTCTTGGAACCAACCCAAAGAAATATCTTGAGCTACAAAGTGTCTGAATCTCTACTTGGCTCAAGGAACTGATTTTGCATAGGGTGTGAGAGATGACATAAAAGTATGAATATATCAATATATACATATGACCATATTTGTCTCTTAAAACAGATAAATCTCTACATTTGCAGACACAAGACCAAACAAAATAACATTTTCTAAATCCTCTTCCCTGCTTGGCCAGCTCTGACATCATGCTCCAGAGAGAACAGAAGCATCTGGTAACTGAGTTCTGAACTGAAACAAGTATTAAAATATTTCATTTCCCTTTCATTTCTTTCCAAACAGTGGCTTTCAATTATATTGTTGGGTAACAAACAAAAGAAATATGAAGATATACAAAGGCCAGGTCTTCACTTGTTTGAAGAAAGCCAACCTGCTGTCTCATATAAAAAGTAGTTATATGCCAACCTGCTGTCCCATATAAAAAGTAGTGATTACCTTGTTCCCATTAAGCCTTGCAATATGATAGTTAATGAGTCTTTTAAGTGCGTTTAAGAAATTCAACAGTACTTTTTCCTTCCCCAGCATGGACATAGAACATAACTAGTTTTCCAGGTAGTCTTCTGCATCTTCTATAGTTAAGTACTCACTTCCTTTCTGCAGAAAAGAGGCGACGCCCCAGTACTTCATCTTGAACTTGGCAGGATCCTCTGTGTCAGTGAAAGAGCCGATCATGTCAGCACAGACATCCCAGTTACTGTAGCCAGAGATAAAGAAACATCACATTCCAATCTAAGAGCACAGGTTCAGTTTGACCAGCACAGGGATAGCAGGTAGGATTGGAGCAGTAGCTTAGTGAAATGGAACAAGAGGAGAATGGCAAACAGCTTACTTGAAGAGTCTCACTCTGCCCTTTGCAGTGGCAGTCATTTGTCCATTCTCATCTACGGTGAATTGGGCTACCACATTGTCCTGCAGAAACAGCCCCTCAGGATCTTTTTTTGCCATAGCATACCAGGTGCCACTGTACTGCAAGGAAATAAGAAAGGCTGCAGTTAGACCTAGAACAATGGAAATGTTACAACCAGACAGTACAGAAGAGGGGAGGTGACAGAGGGAAGAGCATGCAGATCTTTGACACCATGCCTCAAAGGTGTACCTAAGAAACAAATCTAGCTGTTTCAACAGCATAAACCCATCAATACATCCTAGTGAAGTCATAATTTCTAGAAAATACTGACCATTCTTTGGTAATTGTATCTATATCTGCAGTCATCCAGTACAAGGAATACAAAATTTAGTAGAAAAAGGAATAACAACTGGCAGATCTTGACAGATCTATGTATATTTTTTCCCTTGCAATGGTGTCTGAAAACATCGGAGTATTAATGTTTCATAGAAACAACCAAGTCAAGATATTCCTTCTGCTTATACCCAAGAGTTTGAGACCAGTCTGCTAAAGCTCAGTTTCTGCAGTATTCTTGATGGTGCATCAAGATCCAATATCTGTGGAGGTGTGGACATCACACACTTTAGCTGTTTCTCACTATTACAGTCTATGATTTTGAAATGTGACCACACTGGTGCTACTGAATACCAAATTTTGTAGCCTGGAAAGAGCTATGCAAAACATCACAGATCCAGGAGAGTAAAGAAGATTTACCCTGGTCTTGTCGAAGTTCTCCTTGACTTTGAAGCTGCTTACTCGGCAGTCCCGCTCTGCAGTGCTGCTGCCCAGCAAGGCCAGTGACAGCAGCAGCAGCCAGGGCAGAGCTCTCTCTGTGTGGGCCATCCTGTCCCTGAAGCAAACAGAGAACAGCATCAGAAACAGGCTCTGTCACACAAGTGAAGGAGGAAGGCTGCCCTGATAAGTCGCCAGAAATCATGCAGCTTTCCCTGATGCATGTGCAGCCAAGGCACTTGGTTATCCCCAGCCCACAACAGCAGGGTCCCTTACAGACAGCGCCGGTCCCTGCAGCCTCTTGAGAGCCCAAGTGTTGATGGTGGTGGCAGTGCCCAGACAGGGAATGCTTTATGTACCCCTGGGGCTTTCGCAACCTGCTGAGCCACGGAGCCAGCACTGGACAGGCAGTGGGGAGGCGGGCTGATGGATGCTGCAGCCTGGGGCCCCTTCATAACAGCCTCTTGTGTAACACCCATGGGCTCGGGTGGCCTTTGACCCTGATCTGCAGCCAAGCAGGCACTAGGAGCAAATGCCTCTCTTTGCTTTTCCCAACCCAAAAGTAGAGCTTACACCTGGGGGAAGGGGTGTGCACATGTGTGGGGAGAACAAATGGAATGAGAGGCATCCCACCTTTGCATGGTGGAGAGTGAATTGCCTCCACCTCCTCTGTGATTTTATACACTGCAGTCCAAAATCCACCTTACCCAATATGCTCAACCCAGCTACAAGGTGCAGACTTGTTTCCTCCACCTCCTCCTCAAAGTCCTTTCCTCTTTTATTCTGATAAACAGTGGCAACCATAATACTTGCAAGTTTCTGCTCATCTTTCTGAAAGCCTGGTCATGCCAGAACCTCTTCCAGTCCTCATTTCTGGTTCCCTCTTGCATCCAAAAGGCACTCTTGGGTGCTAAATCATCTCCTGAGCAGCTCCCAGCAAGAGGAACGGGGGCCCTGCAGATCTACAGGATGGTGAAAGAGCCCTTTTATATGGTAGCAGGACTTAAGTGTGGCCTGCAAATACCTAAGTGCATGTACACACCACATTTGGCCATTTGAACATCTGATTAATTTTAAATCAGATATTCCATAATTTCCATTCTGTTTTTTGGCAAACTGTTTTCAGTTATATAAACCATAATTTTCTCCTGTCCAGGCAAGTTTTGCTGCCTCTCAGTCAATATTTGTTCTCTAGTTTCAACATCTTTAGGAAGCATTAGAGAAAATCTGTTAATTATTTTCTAGGCATGTAACCAGAGCAGGACAGGAATGATTGTTACCAAGAGAACTAATTCACCTCCTTTTTTCACCTCCCGCTTTTTTAAAGAATAAAGGCAGAAGCCTGTTATTTGAAAGGCTGGTATTCATTACTTTAAGAATCAAGTAAAAATATAATTTAAATATGGAGATACCAATGTAGTATTAAAAATACCTCAATAGTAGCCAATGTACAGCTTTAATCAATTTATTCAGCATGGCCTTTCCCAGAAGTTTACTTAATATTCCTTTCATGCACTCATAAAAATATTAGACTTCTTACAGTTGCTGTCCTTTACAATCTCTTCTCATATACAATGCAAACAGTCTGATTGATTTATCTTCCTTTTCTGCTTTATCTTGGAGGCTTTTTGCACAGTGAGTATGTCTTATTCACTGTCTCAAACATCTACTGCTCAAGGCTGAGCAATCTATTCTTCCATGTCTGCCTTTGATTTCCTGGATAACATCAGACAGTAAAAATTCCACTATATTAAATATTAAGCTTCTATTTACAGTAAAGAACATATTTAACACAGGGAACTAGAAGGGTGTATGTATATTAATTGTCCTGAAACTTTCAGTGGTAGCTTTGCAATACGTTAACATTTCCATTTTTAAGCTGAGATTTTCAAATTTGCTAATTCCTACAAAGACTGAAGAGAAAAAGTAAACTCTGTTCTTCTGACTTTCAGAATCTTGCTCTAGTCTGGCAATGGTGATACCAGTGATACACATACACTTTTATAAAACCTTTACAAAACACTCACTGGTCTTAATATATGAATTCATCATATGAAATATGAACAAAACCAAAATCAACATGGATTTTCTTTGTTCAGTGTCTCACATGACTGACAGCAATAAAATGGATTATAGCTTAATTCATAAGCTTTGAATCTATTACTTCATTTACTACCAAGGAAAACTATTATTTTTTTATTCTCTGCCAATTTGTGAAACGTTATCCTTTCTCCTAAGCATGTCCTGTTCAAAAATCTGCATACTTCCTTATATTACTAGAGACGTTCTTGCAGGATCAAATCTATTCCACTAAAGTTTTTTCAATAGCATAATTGTCTATGAAGTTTTCAAAGGAGTCTACAGTCACTCATCCACATAAATCAAAACCTGCTGAATTCTGACCACCTCTGAAATTCTAGGTTAGTGTTCCTGTTACAAATACTGCTATTGTCAGAAGATTTACAGACAGGAAATGAAACCAGGTGTCAATGAAACAAAACTTTACTTCTGTTAATAAGTTTTAGTAAGATCAGTTTTAAATGTATGCAAGAGATGTTACAGTCTCCTAAATTAATCTGATGTTATAACTAAATCAGAGACATGTAATTTTGTATAAGTTCTGGCACACTATTTCATTAATTGTGTACCTCTACTGATCTCTGCAATATTTCATAACTCATATCTATCTGGTGGAGGTGCCTGACAGACTTAGTAATTATAACTTCCACTCATTCAGGTCCTCAAATCTGGGATCTCTACAAACTCTAGACAATGCCCACAGAAACTCTTCTTTTGATACGTTATCATTGGAAATTTGGGGCAGTGCAGCTACAGTGAAATCACACCAGTATTTCCCAGTCAGATTTAGACAAGTGCAGAAAAGAAGCCAGGCAAGTCAGAATGACATGAGGGGTACACAGGGAGCTGGGCTCTGCCTCCTCTGCTTTAGCTGTACCTCCAATACTGCCTACCAGAGACACGGCTTACATTGATGAAGTCCTTTCAGAGCTACCGATGAAGCACTTCCTTGGTTCGGTGGGACAAGGTTTTTAGGCAAAAAGGCTGCTCTGTTGTTGGTTACGTCAAGATCAGGGTGTGTTGGGGGGTGAATGGAAGGTTTCTGGCAGATGAGCATCACTATAGCAATTCAAGGGTGAATTCTTCCTCAGTCCTAAGAGATACAGCAGTGCCAGCAGAACTGTGTAAACTCATAAAGAGTGTAAACTTTGCCTCAGTTAAATATCGTTTGGATTGACTGGGGTCTGAGTTTGCTTGAGAAATGATGTCAGGGAATGATCCTCATCCAGACCTAGATATTCACCTCACAGATTTATACTTCTCATGCAAATGGAAAGGAACTTGGGCCAGGATATCAATTGAATCTGAGAGGAATATACATAGATAAAGTCAATGATATCCAAGGATTTCTAGGTTCTGGGAAAGCTCAGACAATTATATTTAAGAGAATTATTAAAATATTGATGAATGATTTAAATATTGATAAGTTTCATAAATGACTTCTGATACCTGAGGCTGGTAGTGTATTATGAATATTACAGATTTTTTTTTAAGTCACTACGTATTTTTTTGAACTCTATTTAATGAGAGGGAAAGAAGGTCTTCTACCTTTGAATTTTGCCAAGAGGACAGAAAAGGGGCTAACTTCTGGCAGTGATTCTGTGACTGGATTATTTTCTACATTAATAGCATGTAAAACTCTGCAATATTTTCAATTAGGTATAGCAAAGAAAAAATATGGAAGGCAATGGCTGGAAAAAAACTTCTATTGTAGGAATTATTTCATCTTTATTTATGACTTTTAAAAAAGGAAGAAACTAGTCAAATAGCTATTTAAAACATTTTTAGTGCTGCAACTTTCAAGCTTTACATATTCAAAGAATTAAAATTTTATTTTTGTTCACAAGAATAAGTCGAGCTCTTAGGAGAAAGTTGACTAAAAAAGTGCTCGTAAGAAATGGATCACCCATTTCCAGACAGACTACACATAGATTGAAAGAGTTTTTGCTGTCTTCTCTTGATTGTTTATTTATAGAAGGCCATTCACAACATGGGTATCCATTAAACTCTCAGAGGCAGATTTGCAGGCAAATGAATGACCACTGTGTGCACAGAGCAGGGGATGCAAGTGTAGCCACTGCCCTGTGAAACCAGACTCCTGTCAACAACAAATGGCACGAGCTGAGCCAAGGAGCTCCGTGTACTTTGTAAAGGACAATAGTGTAAGCTGTCGCCATCACAGCTGTTCCTCTTGGTGGCAGTCTGAGTACAGAGGTCAAGGACAGATGGGAATAGAAAAGATTGCCCTTTGCTCCACGCCAGCCTGTGTACTACCTGTTTTTGTAATTTAATGACGCGACATTTTGTTTAGGGAGTAAATTTACACTGAACTCTTTACAAACAGTATTTATTAACAAAACTAATTTTAAATGGTATTTCTATTTTCTTTAGCAAGTCTTTCTGAGGATTGTGATTCTGAATTGAAATTCTTTCTGGGCATATTACTAAAATGGAAACAATTGGAAACAAAGATCTAAACAGCCAACAGGCTGGCCAGCCAGATGAGAAGAGCTCTAAATTATAAATGATGGAAGACACAGACATGATGAAGTGAGTCTAGCAATGAACCACAAAGATCACAAAGCAATAGGAGAATCTCACAAAAACAGAGGCTGAGAGGGTTGGGACTCTTCAGCCCAAAAAGGCTTGAGGGGATCTTAAAAACATACATACCTGACCGGAGAGCATGAAGAAGACAGTCAGACCCTTCTCAGCAGTGCTGAATAACAATTTCAACAGTAAAAACTTGTCAAGTAACCTAAGATCACCAGAGAGTATATGTGAGAATGGCTGAGATTAAAAGGCTGCTGCCCTTTCCTTAGTCTGTATACTAAAATTCATGCTGACCTATGAAGAAATCCATGTTTTTGGTCAAAGCTGCAGTACATCTGGTAACTCAGGTTAACCCCTTCACACTGGACCGGCCATTTACTTCAGGAAATCTCCCCCAGAGTCTGTAAACTCTGTTGATTACTAATTTCATGATCCCCCAGAGCTAATAATTGGTTGTTTTAAGAGAACATAAACATTTCCATCTATGGAAAAAGTAGTTACCTTACTATCTTCAGTGTTTATGTTTTTAAGATTATTTTTGTAAGACAAGAGATAGAGAATTATTGTAAAAGAAACATGAAATTCAGGATGTTTATAAGGGTTCCCAGAAGATACCAAGCCAGTGACACCAAAACATTTCAGTGCCAAAACCTGGCTATGTTAGGGTCACACAGTACCTGTTGTAAAAACCTACAGAATCCATTTTCACAACCTATCCATTTAGAAAAAAACCCAAACA